CCCGCCAAAACAACAATGACGGCTGTAATCAAAAAATAGCCACGTGGTGTGGCAGGCGCCTGTGGTCCCAGCTACTTGAGAGGCTGAGACAGGAGACTCGCTTGAGCCCAGGAGTTGGAGGTTGCTGTGAACTGTGATGCCACGGCACTCTATCCAGGGAGATAGCTTGAGGCTCTGTCTCAAAAAAAAAAAAAAGAAAAGTAAAGAAAAGAAATAGGAGAAGATATTAACAAATGGAAGAACAAACAATCCTTTTGTCTGGGAAGAACCGACATTGTTAAAATGTCTATACTACCAAAGCAATCTAAAGATTTAGTGCAATCCCCATTAAAATACCAATATCATACTTTGAAGAACTCTGACAAATAGTTATTCATTTTGTATGGAACCAGAAAAACTCCTGTATAGCCAAGGCAATTCTTAGAAATCAAACAAATCTGGAGACGTCACTCTACCAGACTTGAGGTTATTGATCATAATAGCATGGTATTGGCACAAAAATGGAGACACAGAATAGAAAACCTTCAGATGAAACTGACTTCTTTTTGTCATCTGATCTTCAATAAACTGAACAAAAGTATGCACTAGGGAAATAAATATTCAAAAAATGGATGGTGCTGGGAAAACTGATAACCGTATGTAAAATGATTGAAATTGGACCTGTACCTTTTACCAGTTACAAAAGTTGACTCAAGATGGATAAAAGATTTAAGTCTAAGACATGAAGTAATAAAAGTCTTAAAAGAAAAGCATGGAAAAAACTCTTGATGATACTGGCCTGGGGAAAGATTTTATTGAAGAAGACCTCACTGGCAATCACAACAACAAAAATAAATAAATGAGACTTAATTAAGTTATAAAGCTTCTGCATAGTTAAGAACACAGCAATTAAAGCAAATAGACAACCTTTAGAACAGGAAAAGATACTTTAATGTTACAAATCTGACAATGGTTTGTAACTAGGATCTACAAAGAACTCACATTCGTCAACAATAAAAGAGCAAACAATCCCATTTATCATTGTATGAGAGACAGAAATAGAATCTTCTTTCAAGGCCAGCAAACATATGAAAATGGCCAGCAAACACATGAAAAATGCTCATTGCTGGGCACTGTGGCTCATGCTTGTCATCCTAGTATTCTGGGAGGCTGAGGTGGGTGGATTGCCTGAGCTCAGGAGTTCTAGACCAGCCTGAGCAAGAGCAAGACCCAATCTCTAAAAATACCTGGGCATTGTGGCAAGTGCCTGTAGTCCCAGCTACTTGGGAGGCTGAGGCAAGAGAATCTCTTGAGCCCCAGTTTGAGGTTAGTGCAAGCATGACACCACGGCACTCTACCAAGGGTGACAAACTGAAACTCTTGTCACAAAAAACCGAAAGAAAAGAAAACAAATGCTTATCATCAGAGAAATGCAAATCAAAACCAACTTGAGATATTATCTAACCCCAGTGAGAATTAGCCCACATTGCAAAGTCCCAAACCTGCTGGTTCTAGCAAGGGTGTGTAGAGAGGGGAATACTTTTACACTGTGGTGAGACTGCAAACTAATACAGCCTCCTTGGAAAGAAGTATGGTGAATCTCTAAAGAACTCAAAATAGACCTTCCATTTGATCTCACAATCCCATTACTTGGTGTCTACCCAGAAGAAAAAAATTTGCTCTAGATTGTTTATTGCAGCTCCATTTACTTACTTTCTTTTTTCTTTTTTTTTTTTTTAGACAGAGTTTCATTATGTCACCCTCGGTAGAGTGCCTTGGAGTCACAGCTCACAGCAACCTCAAACTCTTGGGTTTAAGTGATTCTCTTGCCTCAGCCTCTCAGGCAGCTGGGACTACAGGCTCCCGCCACAATGCCCAGCTATTTTTTTTTGGTTGCAGTTGTCATTGTTTAGCAGGCCCAGGCTGGGCTTGAACCTGCCCGCCTTGGTATATGGGGCCAGTGCCCTACTCACTGAGCTATGGATGTGGCAGCTCAATTTACAATTTTCAAGATGTGAAAACAACCCAAGTGCCCATCAACCCATTAATAGATTAATAAACTATATACCATGTATACCATGGAATACTGTTCAGCTGGAAAATTTATATCTTTTGTATTAACCTGCATAGTGTTAGAGAATATTCTCTTTAGTAAAGTATCACAAGAATGGAAAGCACGTATCTAATGTACTCTGTACTAATATGAAGCTAGTAGATGAACTAATACATGCTCATACAAGAAAAACTCAATTTAATTCAAGTTTAGGGGAGTGGGAGTGGGAGCTGAAGTGTTTGAGGTTGCTGTGAGCTATGATGCCATGGTGCTCTACCCAGGGTGACAGAGGAAGATTCTGTCTCAAAAAAAAAAGAAGTTGGCTCAGTGCCTGTGGCTCAAGCGGCTAAGGTGCTAGCCACATACACCTGAGCTGGTGGGTTCTAATCCAGTCTGGGCCCACCAAACAACAATGACGGCTGCAACCAAAAAATAGTCGGGCATTGTGGCGGGCACCTGTAGTCCCAGCTACTTGGGAGGCTGAGGCAGGAGAATCACTTGAGCCCAGGAGTTGGGGGTTACTGTGAGCTGTGATACCATACTCTACCCAGGGTGACAGCCTGAGGCTCTGTCTCAAAAAAAAAAAGTTCATACCAAAGGGTAATTGGTATGAACAATTAATACCCATCCCCAAAGGGCATGGGCATTTTAAAGGTCTTGATAACTATTATCAAATATTCCAGTAGGGTATAACACAGGAAACTCCTAAATGAATTCAGTATTTAAGAATGCTTATCTCATCTCATGCTTGCTGCCCGTTTTCCTTTTTTTTTTGAGACAGGCTTACTCTGTTGTCTGGGCTAGAGTGCGATGGCCTCAGCCTAGCTCACAGCAACCTCAAACTCTGGGGCTCAAGCAAGGAATAAAAATAAAAATAAATAAATAATATAAATTTTCTGCAAATTTATATTTTCTATAAATAAAAGTAAATAAAATAATTTCAAAGAAAAATTAATTTTTAAAAGAAAAATTTCTTTAAAATACATGCATGCTGGTATAGTAGGTATAAATTAAAAGGACAAAGTTTATGCCAATTCTAAAACAATCCCAACCCATCCCTCTGTTACAGCAATTAAGCCAGTTTTGGTATAGCCAGGAAACTGCTTTGCGACTTGCACAGGAAGCCATTGCTGCTGCTGGAGAAGGTGGCAGGTGAGATTCATTTTTATTTCTATTTTTGTATTCTAATCCAAAGTAATATTTTGAATGTCCTTCCTAGGAGAGATGGTTTGCAGCACATGACAAAGTAAGACAGGCTGTAATACTGAGTTTAGGGACCCACTCCAGTATCTATACATTGTAGGATTTCTTATCTCTGTTTTAACATTTTCTAACCTGATTCCTATCTTTACAGTTTTACAATTTGCTTTAAAAGAAAAAATTATAATGTTTGAGTCTTCTGAAGTTTTAAGAATATAGGTTTTTCTTTTCTGTTAATTTGATTTTTATTTTTATCAAAACTTTGTATGCATATAATTTGAGGAGTCAAGTTCTAAAAGATTTATCTAAAAAAATCTATTTTTTGGCTCAGCGCCTTTGGCTCAATGGCTAAGGCGCCAGCTACATACACCTGAGCTGGTGGGTTCAAATCCAGCCTAGGCCCGCCAAACAACAATGATGGCTGCAACCAAAAAATAGCTGGGCATTGTGGCAGGTGCCTGTGGTCCCAGCTACTTGGGAGGCTGAAGCAAGAGAATCGCTTGAGCCCAGGAGTTGGAGGTTGCTGTGAGCAGTGATGCCATGACACTCTACCCAGGGGGATAGCTTGAGGTTCTGTCTCAAAAAAAAAATCTATTTTTTGTTTCTCCTGTAGCTACCCCCACTTTCATCTATCTCCCTTTCAAGTTATTCCTTGGTATTTATAGTCAGACTTCCAAAAAATGTTTATATTGTTATGACTACATAAGTGTTCTTTACAGTGGAGCCTTTTCCTTTCTGTACAGCTTTTCATTTTCCATGAAAACATAATTCTCTTAATTTTTCTGTAGCCTATCTCCATGTCACTAAATTACCCCCAAATTCTCTTTCTAAATCTGCTATAAATAAGTTAAAACATACTTCAACTTTTTTTTTTTTTTTTTGAGACAGAGTCTTACTTTGTCACCCTCAGTAGAGTGCTGTCGTATCACAGCTCACAGCAACCTCAAACTCTTGGGCTTAAGTGATTCTCTTGTGTCAGCCTCCCAAGTAGCTGGGATACAGGCGCTGGCCACAATGCCCGGCTTTTTTGTTTGTTTGTTTTTTTAGAGATGAGGTCTTGCTCTGACTCAGGCTGGTGTTGAACTCCTGAGCTCAGGCAATCCACTCACTTTGGCCTCCCAGAGTGTTAGGATTACAAGTGTGAGCCACTGTACTGGCCTGTTTCAACTTTTTTTATTTGAGACAATTTAGTTTTCTGAGACAGTATCTCACTCTGTTGCCCAGGCTAGAATTCCATGGCATTAGCTTAGCTCACAGCAACTTTACACTCCTGGGCTCAAATTATCCCCTCCTGCCTCAGCCTCCAAAGTAGCTGGGACTATAGGCGCCTGCCATAATACCCCACTAATTTTTCTATTTTGAATAGAGATGTCTTCTTGCTTTGCTCAGGCTGGTCTAGAACTGAGTTCAAGGGATCCTCCCAACTCAGATTCCCGGAATACTAGGATTACAGGTGTGAGGCACCACTCTGGTCTGGTCTTGTCTCCTCATCTTGTAGTCTTATCTTCTCATCATCTCATCTTCCTTTCTTTTTTAGACAGTCTTACTCTGTCTCCTGAGTAGAGTGCTGTGACATCATAGCTCACAGCAACCTCGAACTCTTGGGCTCAATCAAGCCATCCTCTTGCCTCAGTCTCCTGAGTAGCTAGGACTACAGACACACACAACACCTGGCTGGTTTTTCTATTTTTAGTATAGATGGGAAGGTGTCACTCTTGCTCAGGCTGGTCTAGAACTCCTGAGTTCAAACAATCCACCTGCCCCTGCCTCCCAGGATGCAAGGATTCCAGGCATAGTCACTGCACCTGACCTTTATTAATTTTTTTTTAGTAGTGATGGGGTCTTGATCTTGCTCAGGCTGGTCTTGAACTCTTGAGTTCAAGGGATATTCCCACCTTGGCCTCCCAGAGTGCTAGGATTATAGGTGTGACCTACTGCACTCAGGGTTTCAACTTCTTGAATAAAATTCCTTCCAGGGGTTTGTTTGTGCTCTGTTCCAGTCTGCACCAATTGGTTTCTAGCTTTGTTCAGCTCTTACCGTGGTATCTACTTTCACTGTCATATCGGAGTCCTTTTACATCTGTTTTATTCAGGATTCCCTGTTTCCCATACTCTGATTCTTAGTTGACAATGTTATGATGGAGGCATACATCCTCCTGTAGCTTCTACAGAGAAGGTGTGTGGGATTGAAACTTCCATGTCTACAAAGGCTTTTGTCCTCCCCTTACTCTTGATTGTGATAGTTTTGTTGGATAGCTCACTCCAGGTTTTGAAGACATTGCTCCCTTGTCTCCAGGCTTCCATAGGTACTGGCAAGAAATCCAACATCATTCTGATTTCTTGTAGGAAACCTGCCTTTTCCCATCCTGTCTACTGCAAATTTAGGATTTTCTCTCAAGCCCCAGTATTCACTGTGTCTTGTGTGTGGAGCTTTTAAGTACTATCCTGGGTGCTAGGGAGGCCTTCATGTTCATCATTCACGTCGTTCAGTTTGAGAAAATTATCTTAAATTAGTTATTTGATTTCTTTCCTCGCTGTTTTTTTCTGTTCCTCTTTCTGGAACTTCTATAATTTGAATATTGGACCTAATCTTTTAATTTTCTTCTTTCGCTATCTACTGCCTCTTTATACTACTTTCTGGGAGAATTCCTCAGCTTTATCTAAACTTTCTACGAGTTTACCCTATCTGTTATTAAGTAGTTATCTGTAGCTCTTTTCTAGCCTGTAAATATTTCTTTATTATTGTATCTTGCTCATCCTTCTGAGGTTGTTACAGGATCTTTGAAAAAGTTTTCTTACAGGATCTTTGAAAAAGTTTTCTTCTTCCTACCAAGTCTCTGTTTAATCACAAAAGGCCATTTTCTGTTTATTTAGTATTGGATATTTATCTAAGATGTGCTCCTTGTCTTCTGGTCCCTAGCTGTCTGTTCTCATGTAAGGAAAGAGCACTCAGGAACTGGAAGCTAGGACACAGGGTAGACTCATCTGCATGGTCCCTATAATTGGAGGGTCTGCATGAGCTCTTAGGGACCCTCAGTGTCAGTGTGGCTAGGCCCTTTTTTTTTTTTTTTTTT